CCAATAGGACCACCAAACTGGTCATAACCAAAACGAACTTCATATTGACCATTCAACTGTCTCAACTGAGCATTCGCTTTATAGTACTTCTCGCTCGCACTCTGTGATTGACGTTGAGGCCACCGTCGCCACGGGCAGGCTGGTGCGAGAGGGGCAACCTTGAGTCAGCTGACCGGCGTCATACAACAATAGGATTTCTGGTCAAGCTGACAGGGTTGCGAACCTTTGGGCTCCAATCGGGGAGTCGCCTCATATACTTTGATATGCTTCCGAACAGTCGGATTCCTATCCGCCTTTATTAGCTTGGATCGGTTCCTCACGGCAGTCAGTCGGAATACGGAATCCGGTGAATGTTCGAGCCGACGGGTATTTTGAAGACGGTCGAAACATTTGCATTGCTTATACCACAGGATGTCCAGGTGATTGGAGACTCTTGGCAAATGGGAAATTCGGGATGCACGTTGAGTCCGCGATGGTAAAGTTCGCCGTCTCGATGACCTGCGCCGTGCTGAGATTATCTGAGGAAATGAAAGCAATGCTGCGTATGGCTTGAAGAGACTGACCAGGGGGACCTCGTAGAGGCCGACCATCAAGGAACCGTGATAGTTGAGGTTCATTGTGAGCCGAAGCGACAGAAGAACATTTTAGAAGTACAGGAGAAAATCAGAACGCGAATTTCGCTCCAGCGCTCAATACATTCGAGTACAAGTGCCGGTCTCCTTTTGTTCGTTACAGCCTTTGTTCGAATCTACGAATGCGAGCTATTGGGATGAAAGGCTCCGATCCGAATCGAACAAAAGATCCCCCGAATCTCTCTAGCCCACGGAAAGACATCACAGAAACCTCGGGGAAGACGATCGAGGCTCTCAGATCTGGCCCTCGATGATCGATAGGAGTCTTGGGGAGAGTTCGCAGATGCGTGCACCTTGTGCTTGTGTTTTCGAGGCCTCCCCGAGCCAGTCGGCTGTTGCGGTCGCATTGATTGCAGGGAACACTTCATGATCGACTGAGGTCCGTGCGTAGTTTTTTTACTCCCGAAACGCTCGAAGTATCGAATGGAGATGTTGATCTCTGATAGATCCTACAAAGTAGTACTACTGAGGCTCTTCGAGTCCCGGATCACCTCCTTCTTCTCGCTGGGGAAGCTTTCTCTCCACAGCTGGACTTCCTCCCGCGCAGGATCCCATTTACGGCTCCTCGATGGGAAAAGTCGCTGTTTTGTAGCCGTTTACAAACCGGCGTGAGTGACTGTCACTCGAACACTGTGGAACACATGTGCGACCGGCTCCTTCCGTGATCAAAAAAGCTAGGCTTGCACACTCTGACAGGCAGAGATGCTCCGCATTTGGAACAGAATTGATACCTCGAGATGGATCCGGGGACACTATGAAAAGATTCTCTCATCTGCAATTGGACTTTTGCGAGGTCAGCAAAATTAATGGATAACGTGATCTGGATTCTCCGTCGTCCTGTCAGCGCCCCAAGAGGGTTCCAGGAGTAAATGAATACAAGGAGCGGAAGGTCCCGCATTATTCGGAGAGTCTTACGTAAGACGGAGGTTCTGGCTCTAAGTGCTTCAGAGCTCCCGAGGAGCTGCTCCGCTACCGTTTACCAGAGCACGCCGAATGAATTCACCTGTGATCTTCCGTGTGTTGTCACTCGTGGTGAAGGCGAGCCGCAACCCCTCCGTGATCGATCCTGACGGCAATGGTAAGGATTGTCGAAAGAATCGAGCAGCGATCGGTCATTGACAAGAATCAAGGCAAACATCACGAACATCTGCGGTGTACTCCGGCTAAATACAGGCGGATCTAACTCGAGGTTTTTCCGGCTTGCGAGCAGGAGCTTCGCGACCTCCCCCCAATGCAACCTCTTGACTTACCAGGATCGGCGACAACGACGGCGTTAGGGTGCGACCGGGAGATTCGCTTGGATGGAGTCTCGGCGTGGCAGCGAAGACGCAATTTTGGTGCAGCAGAGATTGGTGTGGTCGGCGTCGGCTGGGACGTGTATAGCACAACTGGGATGACGCGCCAAAAATCGATATCTTATTCGTTCGTGACGACGGCGTCTGCTACGAGTGGAAGGGCCAGAAGTGGCGGGACCTCAACTCTGAGTCACCTATCACCTCGGAGAGAGGCAGGGGCCGCGGTTGCCAGGAACCAATTCAGGAGCAAGGACCTCATATGGCACCCAGAGAAAGCTCCCGGCGCTTTGTGCAAACTTGACCAAATCGGGGAATATGTGCTCATTTGCCTCAGAGGATCTCCAAGAGGCATACGCTCAGCGGGTATGACGCAGTGTTGCAAAAGGTCATGATGATCGTGATTGAATGCTGACAGGCACACCTGGCCACGGATGAGGTTAGGGATTAAAAGTGCTGATGAGGGTCATATTGTCGAAAATCCGCGTGACGCACGAGTTTGCGCGAGGCGTCACTCACGTTCGCATTCCTCTACTTCATTTTTTACCTTGTCCTTCATCCCCTGTGAGTGATAGAAAACGTCTCAATTTTTTTCCGGTAGGAATACGCACAGAAGCGTCGCCCGTCTCCTTCCATCCGTCGATTTCGTTCCACGGCTTACCGGAGTCCTCCGACTCGGGAGAGGGTCCTTACGAATCTTCAAAATGACATCCACGCTCTCCATTGCGGACGAAAAAGTAGACTTCTCCGATAAGCTCATCGATCCGCAAGTCTAGGACACCTTTAGAGGTGGATTGAGGCGAGAGAATGAATGTGTTCGGAGATGGTACAAAGAATCGTCACGCTCGACCGCTCAACAATTCCCGCCGAAGACGGGACTTACCCCACGGTACTCGTTGGGGTAGTCGACCCGATCTGTGGCATGCCTCGAGTATGCTCAAGATTCTGGTATGTTTTCTAGGGATCATAGCAGAATGTAAGGTTCAATGAACAGCAGTTCAACACAGCCTGAACTTCCGTTCATTCATTTCTACGAGACGGATATGCCTCCTATATGAGGAAATGAGCATAAAATTCCTTCCTCGCTCGGAGGAATCCTGCTAAGGGAGGACAAAGCCGCGAACAGACACCTTCCTAACAGTAT